ACATCAATGGAAAGCTTATTTATTCAGCTTTCAGATGATGTAGAAATCTCAATTTAAAAAAACTGACCCTTAAGACTGGTTTTGTGCTCCAGGGTCACATATGGCCCAAATCAGAATCTAACAATCAGATCCCATGTGGTTTGTACTGTTCACACATTTATGAATAAAAAAAAACAATCAACTTCTTCCTGTCTGAACGTAGCCTTCGAGACCGACTATTAAACTAGAAATTTCAGGTACTGTAAATTAAAGAAAAGTCAGTTCATGGATTTAACAAATTATAATGAAATATATGTAGAAGCAGCTTTCTATTAGCAATAAAGCCCTTGTGGATGTGATATACTGAGAATACAGTCACCAAGCTGCTTGTTGCACCTGAAGGCCAATTTCCCCTTGATTTGCTGGCTCTGTCTTATCTTTGATTTGTCACTCATTAATAACTGATACTACTGCAACTTCTGTAGTCACACGGTTTGAACAGCTAAATTGTTTTAACTAGTCTGAAATGACTAGTTTCTGTGGTTTGTGAATGAGAGAATCAAGGTCTTGTTCCTCAGCGTGAGAGCCAGTGATCACTTCACATTGTTCGATAAGCTCATTAACCCAGAGGGGAGTTTCTGCACGCACACATGGTGTATGGCTGGAAATGAGTTTCAAAAACCACCCTACAGCAGCCACTGAGACCAGCTTTACCTGTTTGGTGAGCGTCTGTGTCAGGATGGGCACCAGGTACTGCAGAGCTCCTTTAGCGTAAAACTTGCTGGTGTGCTCTGGAGGACGGCCCTGTTCAGAGGCCTGAGGACACACAACATCAACAACTGATCAGGAACGAGAGCGTTTGCGGAGCAGCAGACTGGAGAGGACACCAGGAGGCATCACCTCAGTGGCTTCAATGGCCAGATCCATCTCCTCGTCACAGACGTTGGACCAGAACTCGATTCCCTGCAAGGCCACTTCATCGATGTCACTCTTCATGGCCTCTATTGTGATCTGTATTGGAAGAGTAAGGCTGATTACCCCTTGGCAGCTGCTAGTTTGTCAAACTAGCTCTTAAGACACAGTCGTAGCATGGTGGCTAAATTTATGCAGCTGGCCCCAGGACCCATGCATCACATGTGTTAAAGACACAGCCCACTGTCAACTTCGGTTTAAAGCGATAGTCTGCCCAGAAATGAAAACTGCCCTCAAGCTGTTCTAAACCTGTATGTAGGGCTGGCAGATAAATCGATAACGTGATATAATTTTCCTTCGATAAAACGATAACAAGAGTTTGGTAAATGTTCAATATAATGTTTATGCGCCAAAAGCGGAATGAAAGAGCGCTTCTCATTTGAGCCACGCCACACGGACAGTTTATCTTTCACTTAGGAGCAAAAATCTGCCTTTAAACTTGAAAAAAATAAAGACATTTATCGTGATGATTATTGATATTGACTGATATGAAAAAATTTGTGATCTTATAATCGTGATAATTTTTTTGGTCATATCGCCCAGCCCTACCTGTATGAGTTTTTTCCTTCTTCTGTTGAAGACAAAAGGTCATATTTTGAGGAATGTCGGTTGCTGATCCACACCGACTTCCATAGTGTTTTTCTCACTATTCTTCAAAATGTCTTTTGCATATTTTGGCTACTATTTGAGGATAAGTGACAGTTTTCATTTTTGGGTGAACTATCCTTATAAAATATCTGGATAATGAATCTCTAGCCTAATATTTCAGTCCAACACAAAACGCAGCACCCTGAACACCAAACATCTCGGTTTCAGGAGTGAGCCCTGGGACTCTCAGATCAAGCTGGTCAGGAGTAGAGGTCTGCACAGGCTTTAAACTGAAGCCCGAACCCGACCCGTACTCGAGATCGTCTAACCCAGCCCGACCCGAGCAGCACAGTTCAATTTAGAGCCCGAACCCGACATCTTTTTTTTTTTTTCCACACGGAATAGCCAATAAAAAAAAAAAATGCTGTATTTCATGATTGCATGCAACGGTCAGTAAAAAAATAAATGAAAAAAAAAAGAATACGGCCAGTTCACAAGGCAAAAGAAAAAACACCAGTTATGAAAGTTTATGAACATCAGTGCAGTGCTCACATAAATTATGCAGAGTTTTTGAATGGTTGTATACGACAAGACGATAATTCTTATGGTAATTTTCGTCAGTTAAGGCTCGTTAGCATTCGGCCTGCTTTAAATCAGACACAGAGATGCAGTGCGGTAAAAGATCGCATTTATTTGAATTAATTAGATAATTTATTTGAATTAGCGAGATAGGGATGAAAGTTGCGTGTGTGAACCTACGTCTGCGAGCCTCTCTACAAGCAATGAGGCTTAGTTACTTCAAAAACAGCGATTTTACCCCCTCATTGCAGAGAAACAAAGTTGCGAGTCAGTAGCCTGTCGAAGCTATTTTACTAATCAAAGTTTCTGTGCTGTTTTGTCGTTGTCGTGTGCAGTAATGTGTGCGTGCGTCTATGAGCCTAGGCTACTGCATATAGTTTTAGTTTAGCTATAAGCCCGAGCCCGACCCGAACCCGAAGCTATTCATTAAACATTAACCCGAACAGAAACCTGAAAGTATTTCGGGACCCGTCGGGCTCAGGTCGGGTAGCAGACCTCTAGTCAGGAGGGAATCTCTCATCAGGGAACTCACCGCAAACAGCGCCGGGCCCATGTAGGTCTCCATGTACTGGTAATACAAGGACATGATCTTCACCAGGTTCTGTAACGCAGCCACTCTCACCTACAGCAGGACACAATCACACACTCGTTACGAGTCTACTGCAGCAGCACCTGACAGACGTGTGTGGGAATGAGACGCACCCTGGTGTCTGGACACTGCGTGGCCTCACACACGACCTGCATGATGAAGTGTCTCTCCGTCTGCAGAGAGAGAGAGAGAGAGTGAGATCGAACGGCTGAACTGCAGAGGCCCTGTAATCATAAGCGAGGACGCGGCAGTACCTCCTTGTCGAAGTTGGCTTTGGTGAACTCCAGTGAGTTGAGGAGCGCGTTGGTGGCGGCGAGCTTGACGTTGTTGCTGGGCTCCTCCTTCCTCATGCCCTGGATGATGGCTGTCAGGATCTGGTTGGCGTTGTCCTGGAGGTGCTCGGGGTCCTGTCAAAGCGTTGGCAAGGTCAGTCAAACAGATGCTAGGAAACAGGGCAGCGGGTGCGTGCTGGACGGGACTCACGATGTCCTGGCAGATGTATCCGATGGCCTCCAGCGTGGACTCCTTCATGTGCTCTGTGCTGCTGGGGTCCGTCACGTTGGCCACCAGCTGAGGGATGAGCTCGGGCCACTGATTGACGGGGATCTCGGCACAGGCGATGCCAGCCACACACTGAGAGGCCGAGCTGGGCCGATAGGTCTCTGTTCCCAGAGTCTGCAGCACCTGCACAGACGACAGCTCATCACCAAACACAGACAGCCCTGCTGGAGGCGCTGCACACTCTCAGCAAACCAAGTGCTTCGGTTAGAGCCCATGCTGCTGGAAACACATGACTGTGCTGCTTCTCTGAATAATGACCCTTCTAGAGTAGTGACCGAGAGATCAGCACGGTCCGGTCACACCAGCCGGTCGCAAGTTCTTAAACTGGAAGGCTCTGTAACGCTGTACTTTATTCAGCTGCACCCTTTGTTAATAAACGCTCTGTAAAGTAATTCCTGGTCAAATCCACCAGCAGAAGTTGTGTCGATACGCAGTGAATTTCAGTTTATCCTCGACTCTACAACTTCTTTTGCCTCATAACTAACAGTAACAATAAGTTTCCAGTGAAATGCAATACTTTCTCATTAAATGGTACAGGCATTCTGTATATGCAAATGACATTTAGAAACTATTTCAATAGAGATCATTAAAAACCCATCAAAGAAAGTGGCATTATTATTTTATGGTTTTCTTTGACAAGCATACAGAAGCATACTTTTTAGACTGGGTTTGTGTTGATAAGCCACTAACAAAGTAAACTCACACTTAAAACATAAACGAGTGTAACAGTGAACATCTGTCATCTGTCTTTTGATGAAATTTAAATCAATTTTATTCCTACCGTTACTGTGTAAATATTTAGTTATATGTAGAGCTATGTTTCAATTAACGGTTTAAGGCCAAAACATTTAGTGTGCAAGCTGTGAGTTAATGTCCCTTTGTGTCAAAACTAGGTTGTAACCTACACACAGCTGGTGCAACGGACCATGTTAATAAAGCCAGCGACATCCATGATAATGTTCAAACATATCATAACCATTAAAAAGAATGGCTTTCAAATATAATGTTTAAAGCTACAATTTGAGCATAAAATTAGCCATTTAAATAATAAAATTGAAGTTCTGCGCTGTACTGGTGATACAGACTTTGATTACTCAAAGTATGCTGCTTTTATGTTGATTCTACATTAATATGAGGATTCACTGTGCCAACATATGATCCTAATTTCAATGACAGGTGCAATTAATCAGTTAAAGCAATAAGCCCCGTGAAGCCGTGGTTTACAGTGAATTTATAACAGCTGAGGGCCGTTGTTAGGTCCGGCGTGAAGCAGAGTTAGCTGTTATAAATTCACTGTAAAACACGGCTTCACGGGGCTTATTGCTTTTATAAAATGGTTATTCCATATACGTAGTAAGGTTTCACAAAATAAAAGAGCAAATAAAGTGTAATGATATTAACTCTTTCCCTGCCAGCATTTTTTATTTAATTTTTTTAAGTTGCCAGCCACCGCCAGCGATTTTGATGATTTTCACTCAAATTTGATGGCCTCCAGTATATTTAGCTGTATGAATATTTGAATATGCAATACAGCAAAATAGAGATCAGAGCCTCTACTTTTAAAGGGGTGCAGGGCTCCAGACTGCGACCATTTTTTCTGCTGGTGCGACTTTTTGTGAGTGGTTGCACCGCGTTGTCCAGCTCACAAGTGCTGCCATTTCTGTTGCATTTGAGAAAAATCAAATGGCAAACGAAACGAAAGCCAAACTAAACCACGCTACGTTTCAGCTGCGCAGCGCAGACTGTTTATCAGCTCGGACCGCGACGCAAACAAACTTGCTCGAGCTCAGAACAGCTTCACTCGGGAGCCAAAGTTGATTTCGCGACACTGTTACTGCACAGATGCAACAGTGCTGCGAGACCCAGTGAGAAGCCTTTGAATTCGCCGCACAATGATAAGGTTGCTGTGAGATCTAGTGGGAATCATTCAAATTCTGCACAGAATTCTCTGTTATAAACAAAGTTACGAAGCTGGCGATAACGTCTTTTAAAATTCTGGCAGTTTAAAGCCTACAAAAACAGCTGGTAGGGACTACAAGTTACCAAAGGGGGCGAGGCCAAGCTGCACTGCTCTAGAGAAGAGGAAGAGAAAACTAGAGGTGCACGTAAAAATCTGTTCATATGAATCGCGATTCTGTCTTCTAACGATTCTAATGGATTCACACGTTTGTGAACGTTCTAAAGCAGCGGTTCTTGATACTGTTCCTCGCGTCCCCCTGCTCTCGCTCTCTCTCATTCAGCTCAGCTCCAGCAATTAACGGTTACAATTATACACTTATTTTCACATAGCTAGTAGGGGTGGGGAAAAATCGATACAGCATAGTATCGCGATATTTTCTGCGGCAAAACTGTATCGATACACGGACGGCAAGTATCGATCTTTTATTATACTATTTGGTAGAATAATAAAATTAGCTTCTTTACAATCCACTAGATGGTGGTGTTGAGTTTTTTCTGGTGAGGTCAGCGGGGTCACCTTCAGCATGCAGTGAGTTAGTAAAATAAAGAGGGCGGCATCGCGGAAAGTTATCAGGAAAGCCCCGTCCGCGTTTACATCGGATGTATGGACTTACTTCGGATTTGTAAACAAGGAGGGGATGCAAGTAGGGATGCACCGAAAATATAGGCTACATATAATAATAATAATAATATATATGGCGCGCCCCGCCCGGCGGTGTTCAGCGCGCATGTTTCACTCTCCTCGTCACTGCGCGGTTTGCTCAATATTCCGATCTATGAATGTGTGCTCCGCTCGTGTACCGCTCATGCTCACCGGAAGAGCAAAGTCCGCTCAAATAATGTGCTGACAGGACATTTCTAAGCAGTATAGGCCTGCTTGTTCCGGTTCGCAGTAGCGCTACTGTGCTGTAACATGCTGTAGGCTAGTTCAGCTGCACTGGGCAACGCTGCTAAAATAATGCTACCTTCAGTGACGCTATATGCTCTGCTTATATGCTCTGATAATAATAGCTTTCTAGGACTATACATTATTTGGATTAGTCAAAAACAACAACAACAACTTATATCTGATTCTGTTACATAGAAGTGAATAAATAATATATTGATATTTAATATTAAGGTAACTTTTCAATAAGGTTCCATTAGTTAATGTATTAACTATCATGAACGAACAATGAATACTACATTACAGTATTTATTAATCTCTTAATGTTAATGAGAATAGTTATTCACTGTTAGTTCATGTTAATTCAGAGTACATTAACTGTTAACAAGCGCAACTGTTGATTTTAATAATGCATTAGTAAATGCTGAAGAACTATTGTTCACTCTTAGTTCATTAACTAACGCAGTTAACTAATGAACCTTATTGAAAAGTGTTACCAATATTAATATAAATTGTCCAGTTTTATTGCGTTACTTTCAGTAAAAGTGTGGTTATTTTATTGCTTGTGTTTTTTAAATTCAGTATCATTAAAATTGAGTTAAATTTAAAAAGTCTTACAAAATTACTTTATTTCTTTGTAATGATCATTTATTAAATAATATAACCGTGTATATATATATAGGTCTATCTACTTGTTTTTCTTTGTTTGTGTGTGTGTGTGTGTGTGTATATATGCATGTGTGTGAGTAAAAGTGTGGTTATTTTATTGCTTGTGTTTTTTTAATTCAGTATCATTAAAATTGAGTTAAATTTAAAAAGTCTTACAAAATTACTTTATTTCTTTGTAATGATCATTTATTAAATAATATAACCGTGTATATATATATAGGTCTATCTACTTGTTTTTCTTTGTGTGTGTGTGTGTGTGTGTGTATATATGCATGTGTGTGTGTGTGTGTGTGTGTGTGTGTATACACCTTGCTACGTGTACTGTGTTAGGCTAACCGAGACTTGTCATTTGCACTTATATATTGTTGCTCTTTTGTTAGTTTTGACTGCTTTTATTGTCCTCATTTGTAAGTCGCTTTGGACAAAAGCGTCAGCTAAATGACTAAATAAATAAAGCATTTTCGGTTTCGGTTTCCGGCCAAATGCATCCAGAACTTTCGGTTTCCGTTTCGGCCCAGAATTTTCATTTCGGTGCATCCCTAGATGTAAGACTACGTGTTTTATTTAATTTAATTAAAATTTTACAGTAATTTACTTTCAAATGCCCCAATTGCTGAAGGGTCTGCACAACTTTAGTACAATTTCAAGTTGCACTGTTCAAAATACCGTGCATCCAGAACTTTCGGTTTCCGTTTCGGCTAGGGATGCACGATATATCGGCCACCATATCGGTATCGGCCCATAAATGCTAATTTTTCTGTTATCGGTATCGGCCTGATAAGAAAATTTGGCCGATATCTTAAAGCCGATAAATAATGCATTATTTCCTTCAGAGAGACGGTCATACTAATAGTTGAGTTTGCCAGGTGCATACAACATTCATGACAGGTTTTCATGAAAGTGTTGGTCAGTTTGTCTGCTTGACAATCCCATTTTGCACTGCAACAATAAAACTGAAGTGAGATAAACAGAGGAATGTTTCCTTTTAGTTAAAACAGATGTTGTCAAAGTTTTCCTTTGGGGACATTATTTGAAGTTGGAAAAAGGTAATAAATTGCAATATATTTAATATCGCAATAATATTGTACCGTGACAATATTGTATTGTGAGGCCTCTGGTGATTCCCACCCCTACTAGCTATGAGAAGCGTTAAACATGCAGTTGCCGTGCTGTATTAAAGCTTTAATCAGGATAAAACCGTATATTAAAAGCTAACATAAGCAGTAGCATTTACAAATAACAGCGTATCTAAAAGTATGAGACCACAACAAACAAAAAACATACCATTAAGAGCCGTGCTTGCACAGGTTCTGCACGATCCTCTTCACTAATATCTTCTGCTTCTCAATCGGGCTCAAACTGATAAGCAGTATAGACGACATCATTGTTTACAATACAAGCAGAGCACATGCCGCTGAGGTGAGGGGCGGGACGCTTAGACACACACTAGAGGCGGTTTAGCCAATCATAACACACTGGGCTAGCTAACCAATCAGAGCCAATCACCTATTTCAGAGGGAGGGGCTTCATAAAAGCAGGAAAAGATCAGCGCATTTCTCAGAGCAGGGACAGAGCGGTGTGGAACAAAGGTCAATTATGTGAGAAATAATGCATTTTTTTAAAAACGAAGCATTAACACATCTTAGACTGCACCCTATAAACACAATGAAGCCTAGAAAAAAAACAGTCAACCACCCCTTTAAGATATTTTGAATGAAAACCGGGAGGCTTGTGACTGTCTCATTGATAAA